GCAGGTCCCTCCCTTGACTCCCTCAACTTGACTTTAAATTAATCTTCGATTAAATTGATTGAGGTATGGAAGAAATGTGTGATTGAACATGAAGTGTAATTGAATGGTGTAATCATCGTGGTTTATTGATCGTCGACCATTATTATAATTACAGTTTTTATTAATTTACAGTTAAGTAAAACTGTAAAACTGTATTAACTACGTTTGTAATTACCCATAAAAATATTTCGTTGATTGTGAGACGAAATCGCAATTCGCAATCGCAATCATAAATGAGTAGAAAATGATCACTTTTTGAGTTATGCAGAAAAACGACAAATGCACGCCGCATTGCTCCGCTAACGTACAGCCCTCTGCAAACTGCGTGGTAGGTATTCTTTTTTTCGACAAAACCGAGAATAACGCGAATACTATGCTAACGGTCATTCGGAAATCGTAACATCAAGACGCGCGAGACTCCGCACCTTAGATTGGGCTTATTTTGGTATACGTTTTCCATCTAGTTTGACAACAACACACAAAAGTTTATATTTGCCCCCCAAACAATTTTTTTTTTGCTACGGTAGGCGTACACTTTGTTCAGTGACTGAATCAATCGAAGGAGTGGAGCATGGCGCATCTACAGGGTGATTTTTTTACTTGTTAAAAAGTAATGAGGTCTAGTGGCGTTAAAATGCAAATATATGTTGCAAAATTATATACCAGGATGACGAGCATTCTGGGACATTTTGATTTCATGCAGACACGATGTGAAGGAACGTCCATCGTGTATTTTACTTGTGCTTGAAGTTACCCCCTCTCTCACCGACACGAATCAGCCCGCCTGAGCACGTGTTGAACAGCACCATGGACTCCCATACTCATTAGGCGGACTGAAAAGGCTCCTATCGCCCATTTTCAGCTCTGCCAGATATTTCCACTGTTTTCTCATTATATCTGCCATAGATGGGTCCAGAAACTAGAAGTCTAGGGAGGGCAGGTCGAGGATTTTGATACTGACGGCCCTGGTCGTGTCTGATTCGCTGTTTTTCTTTCTCTCTGAAGACTGATTCTTCAGAGTCTGCACTTACGCCAGATAGACCGTTTGAAGGTTATTTATGACTACAAACTTGTTCGTGCGTTATTTAACGTCTTTCTGAGGTATCTCCTTGATCATCGTATGCTTCAAACTGCCTCAATGCTTCAAAATCATCGTTTTGTGTCGTTCCTTACTGAACGGCAGTGGACCATGCGTGCCCGATTGGTGGGACATTTTCAGGCTCCATTGGGGCCGAGGCCGTCGGTGAAAAGGGACAAATGATGACACCATACAAAATGTCCCAGATTTATCTATCACGTGCATTGCTTTTTTGCACGCGATTTTTCGATTTAGGGACCATCATTGACGTTTACTTTTTAACAGTTAAAAAAAAAATCACCCTGTATATACAATGTGTTCCGACCGACTGATAATCATAACATTTGAGATATTATCGGTTTTGTCGAAATAAGAATACCTACCACGCAGTTTGCGGAGGGCTGTACTATTATCACCGGTATGCGCCGATCTGCCCAGATACTTACCTTGTTTCGAACTGGTCTCTCTCCGGCTGGTGCTGTAGCCGCTGGACCGGCTGCCGGTTCGAACTCCCGCCGGTGACTGCTGCCGGTTCGAGCTCCCGCCGGTGACTGCTGCTGGTCCGAGCTGCTGGTCCGAGCTGTCAGTCCGAGGTGCCGGTCTGAGCTGCTGGTCCGAGGTGCCGGTCCGAGGTGCCGCCGGTGACTGCTGCCGGTGCGGCGCCGACACGGTGTGGTCGTGCCGCCGCCCCCGCCGTCCCCCGCCCCCGCCCCCGTCCCCGCCCCGCCGGCCAAGGGTCGCCGGCTGACGGCCGCCTGAGCGACTCTGCTCTCCGGCACAATCACGTCCGCGCCGCTCAGAGACAGACTCATCACCGAGCACCGAGATCGGGTGACGTCACGGCACTGCCGACATTGCACTGTTTGGAGAGCAATGCGGCGAAACGATGATTTGAGCTCGAAACATTTCGGATTTCCTATTTCAATATACGAGTTTTGTACCAATGTGTGCCATGCGGGGATGCGGAGCATGAACCGGAGCCGGCACCTTTTGTCCGGAGGGAGTCGGAGCCGTAACAAAATTTCATGCATAAACAGAGCCGGAGGTGGAATCCATCAAAGTGCAGATGGATTTGGCACCGAATAAATGCAAACCTAAAATCAACGATTTCTATAAATTTGAATGACTGTAAAGGAAGTCAACTCGTTGGCATCTTCTGTGGGGATGAGTCATGTTCGAATGTTGTATATTCGGTGTACTGTGTACCTAGTGTGTAGTGGTTAGGGATGCTTATCGGTGACGCATTCTACAAGGCTCATCGATCCGCGCGCTTTTTTATTTTATTTGCATGGTATCTTTTTTACGTGTAGCGTAAGTGAACCATGAAGCATTATCGTGAGAAGAGGTCACTTCATTTAAAAACGTTACATTTGTGTTGTATGGAAATGGAAGAAACCACATTTTCGCTTTTGCTCATGCTTGGGATTCCCTCAGTCCGTTGAAGTCCGACACACAGCCACAATACATGTATCGGTGTTCCCCCTCTCAGAGCCACAACACATGTATCGGTGTTTCCCTCTCTCAGATAAGGTAGCTATTATTGTATACAGACATCACTTAGCTTATCCAATGTCCTTCCTGAAAGACTGCTGGGCGTGCTAGCTTGTTGTTGCTGGAATGGTACTTTATTTCCTCCAGCGGCCGAGGCCCAACTCCCAAGGCCCTGGTCCCCTCTGCGTTTCATTTACACCACAGCTTGTCCATTGTACAACTGCTAGGGATTGTGGTTTTTACTGGCCCCACTGGTGAGGCCTCGATAATTGATCATTTCTGACACTTTTTATCGAGCTTGTTTTGTGCTAGCTGCCCATGACATTTTCTCAGTCATTTCAGTTCCCTTTTTTCTTAAGTCCTCGCCCTGGCAGGGGGGGGGGGGGTCGTGCGCGCCGCCAAATTTGGCACAGCCTATGGGGCAACCTTTTTACATATGACCAGAAAATTTCAGGTCCGGGTGACGTTGGGTCAGGTCACCAGGTCAGAAAAACCGCAACAAGGCCATGGTCAAACTTCAATTTTCTTTTTGCACCTGTCCAACCCACAGTTTTGGACTGATTTTCTTCAAAATTTCAGGATGTGCTAAGTTCACCGAGTTGTATAACATATAGTTCGGGTTTTTTTTTAGGTCACTGACCTGAGGTCAGTGAGAGGTCATTACGTCGTAATGTTAAGCCTATGGGAAAATACTAAATTCGGAAAATACTGGAGATATCCGCTTCGTTTTATCACTTTTGTGCTTTGAAACCACAGTACTTAACAGCAGGTCACTTGGTGCCTCTTCGTTTGGTGTACTTATCCATGGGTCAGGTCAAATGAGGTCAACTGAGGTCAAATGACGTTTTTGCTAATAACTTGGCACATAATGACGCTAGAGCTTAAAAAATGGTATCATTGTGTTCCTGGTGATCAGCCGAATCGAATGATATGCGATATTATGCAATTTGGTTAATATGAACTTAATTAATTAATTAAAGTTTACTTAAAAATTAAGAAAAACTTTAAGTACACTTAAGCAAGCTAAAAAGTATATCATTCGACGCGCCTTGACGTGCTGAGTTCACTGGTGCTTTTCTTTTTGCTCTATCTTAATTAGATCAAAAGTTATAAGCGAAAACTTTTGACCTGTTCTTAGCGAAATTTGTACATTTATACCCCCCAAAACCCCCCTAAATATTGACCTAGAGCAACCAAATTTGCACAGGGGCGAGAACTCCAGGGGGCCCACCTACCTACCAAATTTGGTGTTTCTAGGTGCCATAGGAGCCAATCGCGAGGGGGGTCGCATCGACCCCCCCCCCCCCCTGCCAGGCTGTGTTATGAAAAATGCCCTGCCAGGGCGAGGGTTAAAGGTAGTGTGCCAGCTTTCTTGGACCGTATGGAGTTAATGGCCCAGATAAGGAGAACCGGATTTTTAGAACTTATCCATACCTTCAAAACTCATGGAAACGTCTTAAATTCTTCAAATTTTGAGTACCCCAGTGCGAAATTCGCCCCGACGGGTTGTCGGTCGTACCCCCCCAACCACATTTCACACCACTATGAACAATAAATGCACACACTGAAATCGCTATTACCGATATGCTCATCCAATCAAGTTTCGATAAACCCGTTCATCATCATCTCCTGGGGTTTCGAACACGCCTGTTAGGTGGCTTCTGATGCTCGTCGAGGTCGGAATTTCCAAATACGCGTGGTGCGTCGGGCCGCGCGCTCTGACTTCGGCCAAGAAAAATGCGTCAGCTGATCATTGTCATTTCTGCCACTTGCGTGTGGTGAAATGGGGTCATAACTTATAAGACGGCTTTTTTATATCAATTATTTTACATAAAATCATATTTCAAACCATAAATAATGTTCGACAGCCAAATAAAAGAAACAATACCAATACGGGCTTACAGTTTAAGGCTCGACATTGTGTTGTCTACGATTAGACAGCTGATAACTCATTCCCGTACGTCGTATGGTCGTAACACTATAATGACCTTTGCTTATTGTCACAAGTGCGCCGCATTCGCGATTGTTGCCCGACGCCTGTTTGCAGGTGAGCCCACTACAGTTGTTATACATATCTAAAAACCGAAAAACTTTTAGGCGAAAAAGGCACTATTCCAGGCCCATTTTTGATTTTTTTTGCGATATTAGGTAAAAACAGAAGCTTCTTATCCTAGGAAAAATAAAATGGGAAATCTTTCAAAGGTGGCACACTACCTTTAAACTGACCAGCTTTAGAAGCCGATATTGGAGCTGGATAGAGAGAGTTAGAGTTGGACAATGTCGCCCACATGCGGCTGGCGTGGGTTGACCTCCTCTGTCGTATAGTCGCAGGAAGCGTCAGGTTTTTGGATATCACACGCTCTCACTCGCCTCTCCGTACCCATTGTTTCAGGACCACGTGGCAGCGGCGTTTGGCTCGGGCGTGCCCTCAGCCTGCGTGGTGGACGTCGGAGACCAGAAGACGTCCGTCTCCTGCGTGGAGGACGGCATGTCCATACGAGAGACGCGGGTCAGTGGACGGACGGCATGTCCATACGAGAGACGCGGGTCAGTGGACGGACGGCATGTCCATACGAGAGACGCGGGTCAGTGGAGGCCGGAGGGGCGGGGCGGGTCAGCAGAGGAGCGAGGTGGGCTAGATGAGGACGGGATGGGTCAGCAGAAGACATGTCCTTTGATGGATGCGTGTCATTTGGAAGTGCGAATCAGTTGCGACGGGGAGAACTGGGAATTTGTTAGGAAAAAAACTGCTCTAATACATACTCGACGGCTTACCCCTGTCTGATAGTCTCCTCTTTACTAGGTGCTGTAACCGCTCCTTGGGGACCGGTGAAATTATCCAGTCGTCACATGGGACAAAATCACATTTTGATTCTTTGCATGAGTAGGTATAAGATTCTTCAAGCCCTCTTAACCCGCGCCCCACTGGGGGGGGGGGGGGCTATTTATAGCCCCCCCTCCCGTTTTTCTGCAATAACTTCTAAACCGCTTGGCGAATCGACGCCAAACTTTCAGTACCTTCGGCTGCATCAATTTGACACCTTGTGTCAAAATTTGAACTTCGTAGCTACCATAGGTCGGCCGGAAATGACGTCAGAGTGACGTCATGTTCGTCCGATTTCGACGCAAAACATTGAACCACGGCAATCGCTCCCAAGAGCTCAGTTTTTAAGCTAGATCCAATTTCTTTGCATGAAAGAACTCAGAATTGACCGCGCTATCAAACTGCTATCTCGGATTTTCAAAATTTTGAAAATTTCGAAAATTTTATATAATAATATTCAAAATTTATATTTTTATATTTTTTTCAAAAAGTTTTTGACTTTTCGAAAAAACCGGAATATATGTGACAGAACGCATGATTATGACTAACTTTAGCAAGTTTTAGCTAAATATCTTCAAAAATGGCCAAGTTATACGCATTATTGCAAAAAATTCACAATTATTAATTTTTCAAATCAATTTTTCAGTACGTATTTGGCATCGTACACCAATATAAATGGCACCATCGTGTTCCTGAGCTCAAACTGCATCCAATAGACACCTTTTTTGTTGAAAAATTTCAACTTCAAAATTTGACCTTTTTTGACCTGAAAGTGACCTGACCTAAGCTAATTTCGACTCCAAATGACCTTGAATGACACAGAGGACATCAAATTCGAAATCTATGGCCTAAATGGACCATAAAACATGTGTCACGTGACCGACGCATGATATAATATTTTCGTGACCTGTGATGACCTGACCCTGACCTGAAAATCAAAGTACAAGTTTGGTACCCTCAAGGTATCTAGAGCATCTGTTCACGAGTGTGGAAACCAAAAATGAGCCTGATCTGACTTGTAAGACGGCGGCCAGAGCCCAAAATGTGAACAAGCCAAAGTGCTAATAATTTTTACTTTGACCTGACCTGTGACGTCATCGATGACCTCGAGGTCAATGAAATTAGGTTTCGCTCGACAGTTTTTCCGGGGCTATCAGACGCCGTTTGAATTTTGACGATCGGCCCAGTAGTTTCGGAGTTAGGAGGGGGGGCTATGAATAGCCCCCCCCCCCCCCAGTAGGGCGTGTTATACACAGACCCCAGTGGGGCGCGGGTTAATGCCAGTCGTAAGTAGGGTAAGGGCGGGTAAGAGTACGCGGGCGATAAGAGTACGCATCAGCTGTTTCGGTTGCTTAGCAACGCGGGTTTGTCGAGTTCATGAAGTGACATGAAGCCGCCAGTGCGTGCATGTCACCAACGGAACGTGGGCGTTGAGCGGCGACGCTGTTGAGTTTAAGGCGATGAATATTATTTTCGAGCGTTATGATATTATTATGATATGGTACAATAATTTTGATACTTGGCAGTTGAGACAAGGTACATTTCCGTGATTGTTGTGGGAAACTTGTGAGGTTATCTGGGGAAATACTGTACAGTGCAATATTCTGTTTGCGAAGCTTTGCACAACGTTTCGGGGTTGTTTTGTGCGCGAATTGCATGTACGGTAAGAGGACGCACTGTTCAGGAGGGTAAGAGTACGCAGAATTATACATTAAATCGAATATACAGAAATATAGAATTATTAATCTATCGCTCAATGACGATTGTTTTGTAGGTATATCATCAATGGAGCACTGTGATGCAGATGCGTACCCGAAATTCTTCCAAATACGAGTTATTCTCCTTTTTGATTGTGCATTTTTTTAAGAAACACACGACATGATTATTTCCTGATTTATAGACTTGAAAGATTTATTTTATGTTTTTCTTTTTGGATACTAGAATTAACTTAAATGCCTTCTGAGTTTGAAGTTAAGCATTTGGACAGTGCAAGCTGCATAGGTGTGTGTTCATATGCTTGCGTACTCCACCCGCCTGGCGTGCGTACTCTTACACACCCCATATGGTAAGAGTACGCAAGTGCAACGGTTCAGAAAATGTCAGTTTTAGACCACTTCCATTTACGCTGAAGGATCGGTGCCCCATGGGTTGATGGCTAATTCAATGAACTTTAATATTCCCTATTTGCGATTTCTTTCCTTCAAATATTAAACAAATGAGAGCAAGAAATCCACTAAGTGCGTACTCTTATACGACTTCACCCTATGCTTCCTCGATGGCAGTTTATAATGACCTTTCGCCCCAAATGACGCAACGCATATCGTGCCATTGGCCAATTTTGGCTGCGCGGTTTGAAGCGCGACATTTTAGGTTGTGTAACACATGGAGCATATGTGCCAGATTTTGTTTATGTTCAGATCCAATATAGCGCAATGAATTTCACGCCTTCCTCAGTCGGTATCGCGTATTTCGTACGTTTTTTTTTGTGGCTCTCTCATCTGAATCAGCATGCGTTGCTTTTCTTACTGTTGTTTGCATTTTAGTACGTTTCCTAAAAGGTCCGGTATTTCTATGCTACGGGCCATCATTAGCTCTATCGGCTGTTTTCTTTCTGTGGCTCTGTGTGTCCTCTCTGTGTTTTGAGTCTGCGTGTTTTGGTCCGTTTTCTGCGGCCCGCGGCGTTCGGCCTCAATCCACGCCCTAAAACCATGGCAGCTTGGTCAAAGGTCGACACAAACTTCCGTCGGCAGCGCTGGTCGTCTGGAACCCATCAGGAACGGAATCGGCCCGCTTAGGGGTGGACACCCTTCTGGGAAACGCGCCCAAATTACGCCGCCATTTTGGGGACTGGTCTCCAAATACGCAACTCTTTTTCATGTTTTTATGACAGCTGTCCAGTGTAGTAAGATGATGATCCTAACTAATGTGATGCTGTTTTTATGTGTTCCTCGTAAGTGCATGTGGTGACTTAACGAGTTAAATCTGTGGTGCGTCTCATCACCAAATCAGTCATTGTTAACTACTTTGTCAAGGCATCAAGCATGTAGCTCCAAACCTATTCAGGTCAGGAACTGTCTTTTTGGGGGCTGGCTGTAGCTTAAATATTCTCATGTGAACTGTGGAGCTGCCCATCGCACGCATTTGATTCAAGTTAAGAGTTGAAACCATATTATCTATCATGACTTGGTTTTCAGTTGCGTTCTAAATAGAGTAATTACACATGCTTTGTTTTGTTAAGTTATCCAGGCGTTAACAACTCCCTGTTGACAGCTCCCAGACATCCGTGTGTGGGTGATCTAATGATGAAGTCTCATCTACGCCCACGTGTCTCATAGCATAATATGACTTGGGCGCCTGAAACCACTGCTATTGTCGGTCTGTACTGGTTTGTGTTTATTTCTGTTGCCCTGCTCTGACTGGTCTCCTACATCATTATGACGTCACCAGCTGATCTCACACCGACAGATTCACCTGGACTACGGCGGCAGTGACGTCACCCAGGTGTTTTACTGGCTGCTGCGCCGCAGCGCGTTCCCGTACAAGCAGTGTTCGCCCGCCTCTCGGCTGGATGCGCTGCTGCTCCACAAACTTAAGGAGACCTACTGCCATGTGGACCTGGTAAGAACGTCTGACAGTGGACCGAAAACGCTGCTCCTGTGTATGCTACATAACTAATTGTCATCGTGGTATGACTGGAAATCGTGATATAACGTCATCCTCATAGAAAATAGAAGTCATTCATTTTCTCGACCTCATTCTCACATGAGTTCTTCCTTTATGGTATGATGACATCCTTGGTGTCATGAGCCGGAATCCCATTCAATTTCGCGCCACCTGAAGAACACGGCCGCCGTCGCTGTAAAATGACCGTAGCTCCCCCTAAGCACCCTCTCAGGGCCCGTGCTGAGTGCAGGATCACTTGTTCAGCTGTACGATGACCGTGTCTCCTGCCACTTCCTCAGGACACGTGCGGCCCTCAGGAGCACACGTTCCGTGTCAGCAAGCCGCACCACCCGTCCCTGCAGTACACGCTGCAGTTGGGGGACGAGTGCATCATTGCACCGCTCAGGTACGGGGGAAGTGAGGCATTTATCAGCGGACGGTGGTGACGGCCATATTTCTGGTTCATCGATGTTAATGAACGACATTAGGACATGCATTTTTCGTTAAGTCCCGTGCTATTTAAAAATCCTAATATGTTACCATCGTATGAACATTTTGCAGAGCAATGTACAGCAAGCACTAGTTGCTTGACATTTGTTTCGTCACTTTGTGTTGTCAGTTGTCACGGTAATGCATTATGTCCCTCTTCTTATGTCCCTTGACCTCTTCGCTGTTCCGACAGTGACCTCTGCAGCTCTTACCTCATAACTGGCGTGACCTCCACCGGCTCAGCCCCGACGTTTGATGACCTGTGACCCTCTGTCGCCTTGTCTTACAGCTACTTCAACGCGTCGCTGTTCCAGCTGACCGGCCCGAAGCAGTCGTGGCTGTACGACCCGTACCGGGGCGATTCGGACGACCCGCTCGACACCGGCTACCTCCGAGAGACCGGGGTGAGTGGCCGGCGGGGAGGGGGTCGACAGTTGTGGATGGTCGGCTGGGTTCCTGACAGGGAGCTGGTGTGCATTGTGCGAGTAACTTTAATGAGATGTGGTGGATACCATAATTTTGTTGACTTCGTCCAAATTGATGTTTTTAGTTTACGTTCCCTTTAGTGATGTCATTAATCCAGCTCCTGCAGATGTAAATAAAAGATACATTTGGTATTCGATTTGCTTGGTTGTGTTTTCTTGACTGTTTGCTTTGTTATGAGGCTCTGCGTGTATGATCTTTATAGTCAACTGCCTTGCTGTCATGGTTTGACCGTACCCCTCGTCTATATTACAGAGAAAGCGGGAGACGGCTGACACCGCCAGCGAGGCGGTGGACCAATCGCAGCTCGACGATGAGGTCGATGCCTTAGAGCCCAGCCAATCACAGGACAGCAAGGGCCAGATCAAGATAGACAAGCTGCTCAGCCTGGATCAGGCCATCCTTCACAGCGTGGATCAGTGTGGTAAGATCTTCATGCAGTTTGAAAGATGTCTCAGTAGCGGTGGATGTACTGAGGAGTTTACTTGTTCAGGGGATTGGATTAGGGGCTTTATTTCATGAGTTCTCGTTTGTTTATTGGGGACTGCTGTCAATTTTTACGCTGAGATACAGCTGTACCTGGGGTGCTGTTTTATTTACAGTATGTTGGGTATTGCATCCTGTCACTGCGCTCAGAGCTGCCTGTGATGACCGTATTTGCTAGACGCGCTCTATCTCAGCCCGCTCCCCGCCCTCACCAGCGCCCTCTGTCCTGTGTCACCCACAGGCAGTGACGAGCTGAAGCGCAAGTTCTACTCGTGCGTGATCGTGGTGGGCGGCGGCGCCAAGTTCACCGGCTTCGCCACCTGGCTCCGCAGCAGGCTCTCCCTGCAGATACCCTACCAGTTCAGACCCGGTGAGTGGCCATATGCCCTAACAGTTCCGACCCAGTGAGTGGCCAGATTCCCTACCAATTCAGACCCGGTGAGTGGCCATAGGTATGCCCTACCAGTTCCGACCTGGTGAGTGGCCAGATTCCCTACCAATTCAGACCCGGTGAGTGGACAGATCCCCTACCAGTTCCGACCCGGTGAGTGGCCAGATTCCTACCAGTGGACAGATCCCCTACCAGTTCCGACCTGGTGAGTGCCCAGATTCCCTACCAATTCAGACCCGGTGAGTGGACAGATCCCCTACCAGTTCCGACCTGGTGAGTGCCCAGATTCCCTACCAATTCAGACCCGGTGAGTGGCCATAGGTATGCCCTACCAGTTCCGACCTGGTGAGTGGCCAGATTCCCTACCAATTCAGACCCGGTGAGTGGACAGATCCCCTACCAGTTCCGACCTGGTGAGTGGCCAGATTCCCTACCAATTCAGACCCGGTGAGTGGACAGATCCCCTACCAGTTCCGACCTGGTGAGTGGCCAGATTCCCTACCAGTTCCGACACGGCGAGTGGCCAGATTCCCTACCAATTCAGCCTCGGTGAGTTGGCAGATTACATACCAGTTCCGACCCGGTGAGTGGCCAACTTTCGTACTTGCTCAGTCTGGTCAAGGTGCGGTGGCTAATTCATATACCTACGACCTCGTATGGTGACGGAGCTCCTTCCCCCCCCCCCCCCCGCCCTCAGAGCACATGGGGTTGTGACTGTGCCCCTCCCCCCTTCCCTCAGAGCACATGGAGGTGGTGACTGAGCCGCGTGAGCAGGACCCAGAGGTGGTCGGCTGGAAGGGCGCCTGCATCATGGCCTGTATGGAGTCTGCCGGCGAGCTGTGGATCCGGCCGGCCGAGTGGCGCACACACGGCGTCCGCACACTCCGCGAAAAGGCCGCCTTCTACTGGTGAACAGAGCAGGCTGTGGTTCGGAGAATGGACGGAAGGCGGCGCCAGTGGTGAGTGTTATGTAGCGATCTCGTGGAAAAGCTAGTGGTACCTGATAACTGAAGTGTTGAACGAGTTATTCTTTCGTGCTGTGCATTTGTCGTCACTGTATCGGGGACAATGGGGCACAAACCTACTATTCTATTGGTTTGTAACTTTGTTAGTCTATTTGCGTGAACATGACACCGGCAATTTTTCAATGATGCTCAGCATATTTGGTTGCCAAGTCTATATCGCTATTTGAGTGCGTACCCGCCGAGTTGTTTGTTACGTAGTTTGGGTTTTGCTCATATGTACATCGCCATCAATTATAAGTGAAGTACTTCCACTGCCATCACTATCGCACGACTTTTTTAAGTGTTTTGTAGACTTGATTTCATTGTAGAATGTGATTGGAGCTCGCTGGCTACTGTTCTTTGCGAAACTGACAGTATGTAAATGCATTTGATTTTGATATAAAATGTACCTGTTCAGAGCCTTTTTTGCTTCTGCTTAATTATTCTGCTGACAAACTAAACGGTGTGATAATTCCAATCGGAAGGCTGGTGACAACTGCACTGGATTATAGATTAATTTTGTGGCATTGGTGGATCGGCTGCCTATGTCAAAACGTATGAGTGTTTTACCATTTACAGTTAACACGGTTTTACGTTTCCTCTGAACGAATACACCCTATCCAACGAATGGTAGGCAACAACTTTCTATGAACTGATTACCTGGTAGACGTTGATACACGTTTCCTTGACCAAGCTCTTCTGTAATGTGCACGTCCGTTTCACTTCAAGGACCTGTTTTGCCTATCATTGTCACACACACAAAGTAGACAGGGGGAACGCGTTTATAGAATATGCAAATGCCAAATTTTCATATCAGTAACGTTTAGACCGAAGCTGGGACAGTTTGGTCTTCTTTGGTGTGGGTATTTTTTTTTTTTTTTACTGCGATGCATGGGAACATTCCTTCACTCTTAATAAGCGTCATGGGATTTCCTGTGTATTAGTGCGAAGAACGTGGGGATTCGGCTCATGGAATCAACACTGACATGTTTTTTTCTGGTTCTAGGAAAGTCTTTGCTGAATTGGCATAAATATGTATTGTAAATAGACGAATAAATAATCCAAATAGACACAACTCACTCGCCACACCTAGGTGTGCACACGGCACACTACCGTCGTTAGTGTCGTGTGCAGCGGGTACTCGCAGTAACACATCTCACACACAGCCCTCCCGCTATGTCGGGATTACGACAGCGCGTGCCGGCAGGGGGCTCCCCGTAAACACCCCTCCGCGCCGCCGGCCGCGCTTTTCTCGCCCACATTAATGGCATGAACATCGCTCCACCGCGCCGACTATCCACATATCGACGGTATCACATTCGCCACAGAATACTGCTGAGATTCTGACAGACCGCCAGAGCGGATGGCACTGAAGGTGCAGTATGACGTCATAATAAGGGTGTGGCGTCATCAGTGTCCTTCCTGCACCGCTTCTCTGGCATTTCTAGGTGTTGACATGGGGGGAAATACTTATCGGAAACGCGGCAAGTTGATGGAACCGAGCTGTTTTTTCTTGTTCTTGTGCCATTAACTTCTGGAATATTTGTTGGGGTAATATTGGATACCTAAATCTCATAATTTGGCATGCTCGCAATCGAGCTTCGCTTTCGAAGAAATATAAAGTTAGCAGTCAATGTATGAATGGCAGACCAGGATATGATACGCGTAGAAAGATAATCTGTCTTTGTACGGTTCGATCAATTTACCGCTTATCCGTCAGTGGCATTGAATAACCCAGTCAAAAACTAGCCGATAACATCTAGATGCAGGTGTGAGGACATTTCCTAAACGTATCATTAGTTACAAAAAGTACACTGGCTACAGACATGTAGCGAAAACACGAACTGTAACGAGTCTATGCCCTTCAACCAGCAGCTATCAAATTCTACTATGTGGAATGATTTTCTAAATGGCTTCCAGAGCCCTACAATGAACACATGTCTACACAGCTTTCACCAACTCTTTTCACTAAACACAACAAAACAAAATGATTTTGCAGCATTTCCAGAAGCCGCGATAGTCCTCAACAGCCCCCCCCCTTTCCCCATAGTCAAGAAACCCAAAACCAGATAACGGAAAGCCGTGAAAATCATTGAGATTGATTAGGTGTTGTTATCCCCATGCATAATGTCCATGATTTCTTGGGGATGCATAAAGCCATTGCCTTGTCAGTTTGGTTATGCTGACGGCAAGCTTCAGTATCGGAACCGTTATGAATCGACTTATATTTAAAGGTAATGAGAAACAGTATCGAAAAATTAGCGTCATTATGCCTTATCCCTAACATTTAACGTAGCTGTTATCTCCGCGTGGCAGTCTCTCTGGTCTGGTTCATTCCCGATTCGGCGGATCCACCGAGGACAATAACCAATTGTCAAGGACAACCGAAACTCAACGGGAGCCCTCCTCTCGTTCCCTCTCCCCTCTCTCCGTGACCTCAGGTCATCAGTCACGGAGACACCCGCCAGGCCACGGGCCCCCTCACGCCTCCGAGTGCAGCCCGGCCACTGGCCGGTCCCCGTAGGCCACGCTGGGCACCACTACCGGAGGCTCCTCGCCATACAGTGTGTCGGTCGAGTTCTTCTGGTACTGGCGCAGTGCGTCCCGCGGGGTGACGGTCGGAGGACGACGCGGCACGCACAGCGCCGCCACGGCGAACAGCAGGCCGCACAGCGCGAACCCGCCCGGGAACAGCAGGTACAGGCCCACTGGAACGGCACAGTGACGGAGCGTCAGTAAGGGACGAGGGTACAGGCACATAGCGCGAACCCGCCCGGAAACAGCAGGAACAGGCCTACTGGAACAATTCACAGCGGAGCGTCAGTAAGGATACAGGCCTACTGGAACAACACAGCGGGGCGTCAGTAAGGATACAGGCCTACTGGAACGGGGCGCACGCGGATGTCAGTGGGAAACAGCTTTGCACGACATACGGGACTCGGGAGACAACGGAATGTTCCTGAATCGCTGAGACACGATCCTCGGTAAAGGAATTTAGTCTGCAGAACTGGGTCAACTTCCTCAGACCCGCTGGGGCACAAAGCTTCCTTGGATAACATTTATCCGCGTAGCTCTGCGCCAACGGTTTCTTCTGGGAAGGAAATTTTGAGCCACGGAAAGTCACAGCTGTGCTGACCCGCGCCTTTTTTTGCCATATGATTCCCGTTTCCTAGACTGGATTGTTTGTTGCGTTACCAACGGATAAACCCGGGCGACCTCGGGTTCGGGATCGGGAAATTTTCGGAGGTCGGCTTGAGGTAGGATGAATCACTTATCAGTCAAAACTGTATGCAAAGCGATGCGGTAAGATGATATTATAGATAATGCAGATTTGGTATAGGATTCTCGCCATATTTGGAACCCAGTGTCAAACCAAACCAAAGAGCACTCGTGCTGAATAATCCTTTCTCCCACCTTCTAACACCTACCTAAGTCTACATCCCACCACCCCACGCCTCTCACTCCCGGCTCCCCGCAGCCCCACCCGCCCCGGCCCGCCGCCACTCACTGCGGAAGGCGTGTTCGTAGGAGGCGCCGGACGCGCGGAACGCCGAGACGATCGGTCCCAGCAGCAGCTGCAGCGAGCCGCCGACGTTAGTCGTGATGAAGGTGAACACAGCCACCGTGGAGGAACGCAGGTCCTCGGGCACCAGCTCCACCACCACCGACGCCGTCACTGAGATGAACATCTCGCCTGGAGAGGGAACCGGGGTGTTAGAGGCGAACATCACACTGAGATGAACATCTCGCCTGGGGGAGGGAACAGAAGAACAGCGGTGTTAGAATAACAGAACGGCCACTGTACAGAGTTGTGACAGCAGCAGGTTACTATTACTGAGAAGATTACCAACCGGTTCCTGAGAAGATCGGGTTTTACTCAGAACGGACATTTTGATACATAGTCATGGACTACCTCCTGTAATGTTTTATGCCAGTTAATGGAGCCATCCTGTCCCCTACTCTTAAACCCCAAGACAAGTCTCCGCGCGGTACCCACCAAGTACATATATGTAGACGGGTATGAGTAGGTAGTAGCGGTACCCACCGAGTGGTATGAGCACTGAGCAGGAAGTAGCGCGGTACGTACCGAGTATGTAGACGGGTATGAGCAGGTATTACGTACCGAGTATGTAAACGGGTATGAGCAGGTATTACGTACCGAGTATGTAGACGGGTATGAGCAGGTGGTACGTACCGAGTATGTAGACGGGTATGAGCAGGTAGTAGGCCTGCGGCGGGCGCAGGTAGAGCGCCGCGGCCGCGCACGGCGCCGTGGCCAGCTGGCTGACGACCAGCACCAGCACGCGGCCGGCCAGGCCACGCCGCGCGTACAGCACGTCGCTGAGCACGCCGCCGAGCACGGCGCCCAGCGAGCCGGCCGCCAGCGGGATCCAGGAGAGCCACTGCGCGATGTCGGCCGACGACTCGCCGGCCGCCTCGAAATACAGCTGCACGTTGTACGCCCACATTATGCCCACTGAGAACGCAGAGAGAGGGGAAGGGTCAATGAGGTCGGTGGGACAGGAGAAGTCTGCGGGGCGAGAGTGAGCCCAAGTGATGGGACCCAGGGTCTCAGTTCGGTCATGGGGTGGTAACCGAACAGCGAAGTTGAAGAAAGGATAAGTGAGGCTTTCTCGATTTGATGGATGACACTGAAAGACTGGTTGAACGGCTATTTAATTTCGATTCGGTCGATTTTCGGTTGGTTTGTTCATTGTTCGTGAAGAGTGGTGACACACGGCAAAGGATCAAGGCCGCCGCTCTGTTCAAATTTATGCATGTTGCTCTCCTCAAACATGAGATGGTTTCCTATTTGTCTTCCGGCCAAACTAACAGAACTTGAGAGAATCTATTTACTCGGAAGAGGAGGTGCATGGAGTTGTGCTAGGACGTCTTTCTATGACTCGTCACATGACCGTAAATGTTACAAGGCGAACAGGAAGCAACAGCCTTCTTCAGATCACTTCAGTGTGCATAAGGGGGTGGGCCGACCCAGCACACGACTGGTCAGGCTGTTAAATACACAGCGGGCCCTGGGGAGGCCACTCTGGTCAACATGTTCAGCATGACTGGATATTTATGTCCCCTGTGGTCAGCGGAACTGAGTCCAGGCTAAATTTTATAGGTCACTGCGTATATCGACTGGATACCGGTTCACTAACGCCAAAAACACGATGCCTATGTATATGCAGCAATATACTGTAAAATATAGCTAGCCTTGTCTGCTCGCCATGGGAAGCGATAGAAGCACACCTATTGACCCGGGAAGTTCTCAGGCGGGGCCTCTCATCTAACGCGGGGGGACCTCTGTCATCAAATGCAGTGAGCCGGGGGCACTCTGTCACGCAGACCGATCAACCGGTTTGTTTCGGGAAGGATGAGTCTCTGGCTCAGACGTCCCTGACTGGCCCTCCATGGCCCGGGCCGTCGGGAAAAGTGGCCCCCGCAGAGGACAATTGTGACACGCTCGGGTCGGTCGATGTGAACGGGAAAATACCAGGCAGAGGCGCAGGAAATGTTACATCCGCGCCGGACCGATTATCCTTAGTGATGTCCGGAATATATCGGACTATCAACTTATCTACCCATGTTCATTATGCTAATATTACTCAAGAACAGTTTTCTTTTGTTATGAAACTGTGATCGCATATTTATTAAATGAATTATTTATATTGATTATTGCTTCGATTAGAACTTCGCATGAGTTTTGCATGAAAAATTATTCCTCGCATAATTATGTATGATGTAGGAGGCTTCCCATTTATAGTTGCTTCAAATAGTTAATACGGTTTTGCAATTGAATACTGCCTTTATTGCATGGCTCGAAATGAATGCTCCTGCATTCTATTTGAGAACCAGCACTGGTGACACATTTCCCTGCCAAAGTGGCTAGCGAGGACAGACAATGTATGATCACATACGGATGCATATCTCTATAATATTTACGTACCATGGTTATGAGCAAGTATCATACACCTGCATTGATATTCCTCACCACTGGTGACAACACACGATACACGTTTCGTGAGTCGTTAGCCGGTTCACTGGGTCGGTCTCTAAACGGGTTAGCTCGTAAACATCGAGATGTCTCAGAATCGCTGCTAAGCAAAGGCAAGGCCGTTACCACAAACCAGACGATATCATGTGTCGGCCGAGCAGGCTGTTGTGCGTTTTACGACCAGCGCTTTCCGTTGTGAAACGCCGTCGTCTGGAGTGAACTGACCGCGGTGTCTGTCCTGCGCTGGGCAAGATTATACACAACGCTTATATAACGGGTGCAAGTCAAGTAGCTCTTATATAATGAATCGGATGGATGGAGCCGGTCAAGTGACTCATCCTGGATTAGAAGACTCGTGAAATTTCGGAGGCTTCTAATTATGTCCCACGTGAATCTGGAAGAAATTCGGTCTTGAGTTACCGGTTCCTTTGTTCATGCAGATGGTAGGTTTCAGTTATGACGACCAAACAAATACGGGTCCAATAATTGTTATTCGCGAATTTCGCTGTCTATTTACCTGCTTCAACTATCTGCGCCGCTCTATAGCACTGTACTCAATTTACAGCTACGCTATGGAGCTGGCGTTCTCTGCAATAACCACCTGTTTCACACACAAGTCAGCGTGATGCTAGCCCCTGGGACAGTTCACCATCCACCAGTGGTGTTAGCCTTGGGATCGCTCACCACCAGGGACTGCTCAGCACTCACCAGTGGTGCTAGCCCAGGTTCCGTTCACCAATCAGTACTCACCAGTGGTGCGTACCGCGGCGGCGGCCGTCAGCGCGATCAGGCCGACGCTGGCGAACGGCTGCAGCACGCGCTTCACGTTGGTGCCCAGCCGGTGTCGGGTGAAGGCCTTGGAGGAGAACTGCCGCTTCTTGGCCACCTTCGGCGGCTCGGTGACGGTGAAGCTGATGATGAAGCTGTGCAGGATGCCCGGCAGACCGGTGAGGATGAACGCCCACCGCCAGCCCTGCCGCAGCGAGGATATGTGTCCGTGAGATGTCGCGGTTATGATGCGCCGTTTTGATATACAATACATGATACTCGACAGGTGACGGATTTGTCGCGGCAGGACCGGAAAGCAGTTGTATGTCGTCCGCGGGAGATGTGGCAGGGGAGGGGGAGATGGAGGGGAGATGACGGCCAGGTGACAGGTGTCGGGGAGTGTGTGAGGAAGTGGCGGCCTCAAGGCTACGCTGAACCGTTCCCAGGGCGCGCCCGCCACTCGATAACAAAGGCGAGCACTTCCGCATTGTGGGTGGGAGATGGAAATGCGGCGAGCACTGGCGGACCGAAATACATGAATCTATATACATAGTTACTCTAGAGTGTACAATGCCGTTAGATTTTTGATACTTGTTACGTTTTCATATGCGGTAAACTTATCTACATTATATTAGTGCGCGACCTGATTTTTATTTATGAAACTGAAAGAACGTAACTAAAATCACATCGCAGTGTGTCGACAGCGAAGGTGACTGTTGTGCGCCAGGCTCACGAGACGTGAACCGAGGGTTACCGCGGAATAGACTGAGGGTTGCTGCGGTGTGGACTGAGGGTTGCTGCAGTCTGGAGTGGACTGAAGGTTGCTTTGTAGGTGCGCGGCCGCTGACTGACCATTTGGTAGAAGTTGGCCCTGGTGATGAGGTCTCCGAGGGTGAAGGCCAGGCTGTAGCCGGCGTTGGTGCCCAGGCTGAACACTCCTAGCGCGGCGCCGCGTGTTCGCTGGCTGAAGTGGTCGGCGATCAGACTGGTACACAGCGGCACGCACACCGACTCTCTGAGAAAACAGGAGAGGCAGACCCGTTATATGGTTGGGAATTTATTGAGAGGGCGCCGAACATTGTGGTATGCGAGCAAAACATTAGCAAACTTAGCATGGTAGAAACAGCTGTTGCAAACTGTTCAAAAGACTGAAGTTACGTAAAATGGGTCTAGATATAAACATTATGGTGTTTGATTTGCCTGCACTGACTAATTGAAAAAGTGGTAATTTAGTGGCAATTCAGCGATATTGGAACGTTTGTGATTTGGCGGAATTTCCCCCTATATAGGGGAGAGTGGGGCACATTCGTGCATGGGGCACATTCGTTTTCAGCAGTTTATGGGAACACGAGTGACTGCACGAGCTCAAGGTAAATTATGGAAATATGTCTATCATTGCCGCCCTTCGTTCACCGTAGAAGACAACACTGTACCTGCTGTCATGCTTGATAAAAACGCAAATTTGTAACATTCGTGAGCTTTCCAAACTTTTCTCATATCATCCATTTTCGTGATCCTGACTCGGAAATGTGGTTCAGCTTTTCAAAATTGGGGGTGAAGAAGCTCACTCTATTCACGGAACTGCTGCAAACTTGTTTGTTGAAAAAGTGTCATTTTTTTCAAAAAGAAATTTTGAAATATATTACTAATAACGTTGTGGGGCAGGTTCGTGTACGCACTGCCTGGGGGCACATTCGTGCATATTTTTTTTAGTTTTTGCGATTTATGACTTTATCTGTAGTAGGTTTCTCTAATGACGTTCGCCTGACTCAGTCTCGACTGCTTGCGACGTCGTGACGAGCAATTCACGCGAACTTGGCGAGGTCACGGAGGCCGGCAGTTGGCACATTCTTGTTGGCCAGCCCATTCTTTCTACATATGTTGTGCAATGCATTCTTGTCGAAAGGAATCAAGTGAAATGACCCCCTGCCAATTTCCTTTGGTAAATTTCTGGTAATGCCCGGTAATTTCTCGAACTTTGCAGGGTGAACGGAAGTGCCCCACCTCTTGAACGAATGTGCCCCATAGGTGGGGCAGTTTCGTGCAAATGTTCAGAGTTATTAAAAGTCATTTTTTCTAATGGAAGCAATAATTTTAGAGGATAACTTTTAAAGAGGAAAACTATCTGCAATAGTTCCTTTCCATACTACAATCAACAATTTTGCCATTGCACTAACCAAAGAACAGATATATGGGTTTATCCATTTTTTGCACGAATGTGCCCCACTCTCCCCTATGCTCTGAAAATGAGGAAAATTACTAGCTCAGTAAAATATGTGACAGGCGCTCATGAAACACAAACATATTCACCATCAGAAGCAATTAAATCTAATATGCTCATCTCATGGAACAAGAGGGTAAACGGTTTGTTTTAACCTACTTTACACATCGACCGTCAAAACAAGCAGCCATCGCTCACGTAATATACCTGTTATCATTATCAACAGTCAACACCGCCCTGGTGTAGGTACCGCTCCTGTTTATCTGTTCCCGCTCCCCTGAGTTTGATACCACCGACACCGCTCCACCCTCAACAGTGCTCCCTGTCACCCCCGCCGCCCGAAATGTGCAGTGCACCGACTGTTCAACTGCACACTCAGTGCACAGTGTCGTATTGTGAGCGCCAGCAAACACCTCACGGCTGTGATAATTACAGGAACTGGGTCAGTCGTTCTGTGTGTGCCGACCGCGCCAACATCCGCTCCGGCCGGTCACCTATACCAAACGCGGCGTGGGAGCGGCCCGTGGGGCGTCGGGGCGGGAGGTGTACACGGTGGGGAACCGCCCCAGTCCGTGGGGTGCTGTGGGGGGGAGTGGCCCCCAGTCCGTGAGGGTGCTAATGGGAGGGGGAGTGGTCCCCCAGTCCGTGAGGGTGCTTATGGGAGGGGGAGTGGCCCCCAGTTCGTGGGGGAGGGGTGGGAGCGGTCCCGATCTGAGGGTGGGGAGGGGTAGCGGTGCATTGTCTATGAGGGGACTGGGGAGGGGTTCTGGTTTACGAAGGCGCTGGTAAGAGTGGAGCGACTCCATGGTCCAGGAGGGTAGGTGGGGAAGCGACCCTCGATCTGCGGGTATAGGTGGGGGAGGGGTGGCGGCACAGGTCTGTGAAGGTTTGGGCTCGTGCCTCGTGACACAGCGGAGAGAGGAGTGGCTCATAGTGCAGCGCAACAATGAGCGGGGATAATCACAGTGACACAGCAACTTGGTTCATTTACAAATGCACGGATTACATGGCCCCGCTCCTAGACAGTCCAAAGAACACACGGTAAGAATTGTGATTACTGGCTTACTGAATGGGAATTGAATAATGTAATGTTGTGACAAGTGAGGCTTTTTCGGACTTTTCCAGCATGATGATCGCCGAAATACGATTTGCTATGCCAGTTTCTGTCGCTTTGTTATGCCAGGCAATTATTCACTTATTTGCTAGGGCATTTGTACTTTTTTACGGATAGTCATGTCATACGGATAGTCACATCTCTATAAAAATGACCGCTTTTATTATCATGGAAGTGTAATGATGTGTGGAGTAATACGAAATTTTGTTGCTCGAATAAATCGGTACGATCCGTCATTTCGCAATCCCCACTACAGCATTACTCTAGCAGTGTTCCCTCTGAGTTTCGCTCGAGCGCCGTTCCGTACTCACCCGACAGCCACTCCGATCCTGAGAAGCAGCAGCTGCCAGTAGCCGGTCACAAAGCCGGTGCAGGTCGTACAGGCCGACCACAGCAGCAGACACACACCCAGGATCGCCTGGGGGCGCACAGGTCACCGGTCAGGTCAGGTCAGGTGGTTTGTGTGTTTGTCAGACTATTTTTTCATTCGTTTACTTTGATAAGAGATGGTTAGAGGCTTTTGCATTGTTTTGCGTTACTTCAGGACTACCGCAAAACAGGTCAGAGCTGCAACACTGGTGCATCGATGATACGGTTCACACGGGGCGCAGAGCACCAGTGACCGGGTCCACATGGGACAGTAGGGTCCATACGGGACACGAGTGACATCTTCCAGGTGGACATCGCGCGGAGACAGTCATCAGCGGCATCAGATGGAGCATTATTGGGTCAGAGACGGTCTGTCTTTATCAGGGCTGCACACAGTGTAGGTACAACGACGACTGATTTCATGTTTTGCTTTGCTCGCAATTTAAGCTTTACAAAAAAGTGTTGGAAGAATTCGCTATTTAACAGAGGGTTCAATGTATCTAGACCCCGAAACCAATTACTCTTTCCCTTACAGCACCATTGCCGTCCCCGCAGACCCACCTTTCTGCTGTAGACGTCGGCCAGGATGCCCAGCGGGATGCCCGTCGCAGTGAAGAAGAGGAAGAAGGCCGGTCCGATGAGGACCGTGTACTGGTAGCCGGCCGGCCGGTACTCCCAACGCTCACAGTCACCGCTGGAGCTGGAGTTGGAGTTGGACTTGGAGCGGGTGGAGGAGAGCAGGGTGATGTTGTTCATCTCCTCCATCACCTGCGCCAGCGACTCGTTGCCGACGGAGATGGGAAAGGCGGGGTGCGAGGCGTTTGCCGCACAGCTGGAACGGAAATAGCGAGTTATTCGAAATGAGCGACAGGGGTTGGGTGCCTTCAAGTTAAATGTTCAAAATAGTTCGCTTGTGATATTTCTTAGTTTGATAATCGTATAAATGGCCAATGAAATGTTAATAGGTATTTATATTTTGAGGGACTATAGCCATAGCCCATAGGCAAACTTACCTTGCACCATTGCAAATCGTCTCGTTGACGAAACATGACCGTTCTCCAAATTTTATTTCCTGGAAGAAAGGACGAGGGTGAACGTCAGTTTGCAATGTCAGTGAATTACATGCCATTTTATATCCTACCACCGATAGCAAAAATTTGTAAGTGTAACAACACATATCTCAGTCTCTATCAGGTATGTTTACAATGGCAATTTGTGTATCAACTATCAGTCCTGTTTACCGTCAACGTCTCCCGCTGCCGCGCCATCGTCTCACCTGCGCCATGGGCCGGGCCACCACGGCCATCACGTACTGGTTGATCTGCGAGAGCAGGTAGGTGGCTAGCAGGATGGCCAGCAGGTACAGGCTGTACGGCTTCTGCGTGGTCAGCAGCTGCCAGCAGCCTGCAACGGACGCACACGGGGTCAGAATACGGTTTCATGGGTCATCAGCTGGCCATGTGTGGAGGTGATGGATGTAAACAATAAACATTGACAGAATGGATCAGATGCTCTTTTGTATGTCGTCACCGAAGGTTGAGACAAATATTGGGTACATTCGTGTATGTCATCGGGTAGCTTTATTGCTCTTGATATAAGATGGACAATCGTCCAACATCGGTAATGTATGAGACACTGATAGGGCCTGGCAGTATAGGTACCTATTTGTTCGCGTCGAGCTTACTTTTTACCCGATTTGGTATCAAGTCCCATGGATGTGAAAATTTCGTGCGAAGAGCTGCGGCGAATCGTTTCCCATTGCTATGAGTTTCATTTTTTGGTAATTATTGGGCCCGCCGGGCCTCACCCATGTTTATCCCAAACAATTCTAGGCCGAATTACGTGATAATAGGTACGGCTCTCGCGAGATTAACCCGCGCGGGGCTGGGGTCTCCAGCCGAACGCGCGGGGCTGGGGGGGGGGGTAAATTTTACCCCCCCTGTTATCTCCCGAACTAATGGTCCGATTTGGAAAATTCAAACGCCAATCGAAATCTCTCATCACGAACTACTAAAAACATGTACTTAATTTAAAGTTTAAGGTCAAGGTCAAGGTCAGGTCAAGGGTACAAATTGCAAGTTTCTACAGTATCGGCCTTGCACCGTAGTTGCCGAAGAATGGAGTCATGGACTGAGACTGATCGCCCAAAACGTGTTCTTAGGCTACCAAGACAATATTCGTTGCATACAATATCATTCAGAGGTCAAGGTCAAGGTCAGGTCAGGTCAGGTCAGGTCACCAAAAAACAAAATATAGAAAAGGGCATGTGCGACACATGTTTTATGGGTCATTTTACTCATAGAATTCAATAGGCACACTCAATAAGTGATATGGACCACCTCTGGATGAATTTCAGGTCGAGGTCAGGTCAAGGTGAGGTCAAGTGAGGTCAAATTTTGAAGTTGGTTGTTAAGGCCTAAAAAGGTGTCTATCTGATGCAGTTTTTCACGGCGAATCGAATGGTGCTATTTTTGTTTCCGTACGAGGTCTAGAATTTCCAAAAAAGTCATTTTTCAAAAAATTTGTGTGTCGCGACGTCATAAAATTTTGAATAACTCCCACATTTTTGAACCGATTCTTCTAAAATTTGGTATGTAGGTGCACATAGACCACTTCTCTGACATATATTCCGGTTTTTTCGATAGAATCAAAATTTTGGATTTTATAATGATTTTCCAAAAAAAGTCAGTTTTTTGAAAAAATTTAGGCCAAAATCCAAAATTTTCAAAAAACCGAGATAGCCATTTGATAGACCAAGTAAAATTACGTATAACCTTTTTTGTTACGTCTTGATTCCTTTAAAAATGAAGATGTTAGCGGCGTTTGAACTTTTGCCGTTTTTGAGGCGAAAATGGCGAACATGACGTCACTAAAACGTCAATTTCTCAAAAAATTTCCGACGGATTTCGCTCAAATTTTCAGGGAACGTGTCAAATTGATGTAAGAAAAGGTACTGAAAGTTTGGCGGCGCTGCGCGCCGCCGTTTTTGAGATATCGCAAAAATTCGCGAGGGGGGGTAAAATTTACCCCCCCCCAGCCCCGCGCGGGTTAAGCGGTAGGTTTTGCACTTTCACATTTCCGGTTAATCTCAGAAACTAATCGATCTACGATGAAGCCATTTTACACGATCATGGCCGGCTTGTGGACCAACAAGTCGATCGCATCTTCAACACTTAACCCGCGCCCGGCTGGGGGTCCTGGATTTCCACGCCCTGCTGGGGGGGGGGGTGTTTGAACACCCCCCCTTCTAACTCGGCTCCTGGGCCACGTAGCGATACGCGGAAGGCGGCGTTCGAAAGAGCGTCAAAAATAATGACGAAATCACTTCGGTCAATTTTTTGGTCAGGTCAAAGGTCAGGTCACCAGAGGTCATTGAAGGCAAAATTTCGCCGATTTCCAGGTCGAATGTCGAAAATTTCCAAGAAGCCAACCCATAACTCGGGAACCAATAGAGCTACAGCGCCGCGGAAAAGCGCATTCGATAGCCCTATTAACGCCCTTTCTGAGTAATTCTCTCAGATTTGACCTAACGTCAACGGTTTTGCCTGCAGGGGGCAAAAACTGCAAAAATAGCCGATTTTTTCGGAAACAGTTTTTCTGCAATAACTTTTGACCCAAGCCTTGTACGAGCTTACTTTTACCGGCATCGTGTTCCTCTCGTCAAGACGCATCGAATGAACTATAACTTGACCTTGAAAGGTCAACTTGAAAATTTGACCTCAGGTCAAGGTCATGACCTGACCGGAAAGGGTCATGTTGCATATCAGTCGATCCGTATCGTCGAGCTGAACACATCTAAGGCGTTTTCATCGCTCTAGCATGCCTCTATCAAAAGTTATTTGCGAAAAACTGTTAGATACCATTCGTGACCTAAGATGACCTCAGGGCATAAACAGGGGTCACGGACACCATTTTCATGTTCAGTGTGTCTAAACCACTTGTAATTCAGTGTTTGGGAGTGTTTATAATGTCTTTCGTCCAAAAGAGACGCATTTCAATTTTCTCCCATTGACTTATAATGGGGAGGTCGCAAAATTGACCTGACCTTAGGTCATCGATATCAAAATTCTGAGATATACATTTTGTACATGCTACTGCTCTTAGCAATCGCTGAAAGTTTCAAAGCGATCGGTCACTCGGTGTAGCTATGACAGACATTGAAACTTTTTATGAGGTGAGGTCACTTCAAGTGACCTGGTGACCTGACCTTGAATGACCTTGGTCTGAAATTTTCACAACATGTGTAGAATTGATGCATGATAAGGTGTACCAAAAACGGCGGCGCTCCGCGCCGCCGTTTTTGAGATATTCGCGAAAAACCACAAGGGGGGTGTTCAAACACCCCCCCCCCCCAGCAGGGCGCGGGTTAAAAGCTTAAGACGACGAAGATATAGCCTAAGTACACTAAATTTTGTAGGTTCTAGGTGCAAAACCTACCGCTAAAACCCGCGAGACCTGTACCTACAGAGCGCTACTTTGTAAGCAGCATTTACTGTATCCACGTTCACAATGATAAACTGATTAGATTTGCTGGCGCTCTGATAATTTAGTAACGCTGCATGAATACATGAAGATTGATTGAACACGTGGGGACCATGTGCTGACACTGCTGAGGGCACGATGACCCTCGCGGCAGCTGACCGCCAGCGTAACACGCGGACCGTTTGGCTCGCCTCACGCCAGACACGCCACGCACAGATACCTCTGCCGGCCCTTAAAATAGCTGCGGGCCATCGGGCGTGCCAGCCAGGTCGGGTCGGCGGACAAAACAACATCGCGGCCTCCTGGCGTCGTTGGAAGGTGCACCAGCAACGCCTTACGCCACTCATTGCTTATTGCAGCCTATCCGGTTTCTTATGCCCATGCTGGGGCTAACACTGCGAAATGCCACTCTTTTATTTGGTCGCCTTGTTTGTATGGGTAGATGTCGCGTCACGTCTTTTCTTTTGAGATTGCACACTCCCATGGTAATATACCTAAGCTTGCTCTTTTTCCTAAGAAGTGATATCGTATCGTAAATGACATCAGCTTGTAAACAAGTAGGTAATTGATCCACCGAAACAATGCGCAATGACTAGTACAATTTAATAAAAATCGTTCATTGTGTATCGAACAACTCCTTTGCACATTATCCTTTGTGAAACGTTAGGTACCGATTATGTCGGTAGTAACACTGATGACATTTACCAGGTTGTAATCTTATTATTCCCATGCCATATGAAAAGGTATATGTGAGACGTGAGTATATGCCTAAATTTACGGCGCAGTGGCACCTAATTAGCAGCAATATCGCCAATTACCATTGATGTCTTCGTATATCAGGACTGCCGCGTTACCTTACGTTTGTTTTAAGAATTTGATTCAGTTTTACAGCTTTGCATAAAACACACAACGTAGTCAGTAGCAAATTATCTATCCGACAGGTTTTCTGCAACTCAGAGCGTAAAAGAGCCCAGTCCAGCGCCCAGACGTCCTCAGGGCGGCGGGTTCCCACGCCAACGTCCGGCAGTGCCGGCGGCGAGCTGTTCGCCTCACTGCCCCCTGCGGTCGGAGTCGTGTCCTTGATTGGTCCGATGGCAATTTGCCGTGCCGCGGCGGCCGGCGCCACCGTCTGGGAGTGCCGTAAACAGCGCGCTATATAGGCCACGCCGGGGGACGGGGGGGGGGGGGCTGATCGGTCACCGGAGGGGTGATCGGTCCCCAGTGACCGCAGTGACCATCGACCCCCTGACGTCGTCACCGGGCCGTCAATGGGTCGGCCAGAGGTGAGGTGACGGCACGGGCGCCATACGGAGTCACCACGGGCGTCATGAAGAGTTGGGACACACCGGCCGCCGCTGCAGCTGCTTCAGATCAGTTTGGTAATGATATGACCGGCCAGGGTGAGCAATGCCGTGCGGCCCCTCGCCGGGTGTTCTCCTTTCACCGCAGCTGATGGACGACAGCTCAGCAGACACCCTTTTCCGGCTGTGCCAGCGCGGTGTTGCGCTATTGTCTCGAGCTGTGATCAGTTCCGAAATGGCACGTGCGTCAACAACACGTGGGACGTTGAAGAGTCGATAAACAAATCCCTCTCTGTCTAACGGTTTAAATCGAAATGTGACCTATGAAAAAAAAAAAATTGCGCTCAGGATACTTGCCAAACATCATTCTGATGTTGAATTCATGTTAAACGGTGAACCTCAACAAGCGACCACGGCAAATAAGGAGAGTCTGCTGAGCTGCAGCTCTAAGCTAAGACAAATAGTGAGGAGGCTCGTGAACTGAGCCACGCGAGCTGAGACAGTGAGCTAAGCCCTAGCCCGTCCCTACGAACCAGGGAGCCCGCCAGGTCGCCATCTGCCCAGTAACTGACGTGCCGGTTAAGGTCACGGTGCCTGGAGGCTCACAACAGCCGGACGCTGCCCATTGACGTCGATCGAGGGATTAACAGAACGGCGGTCTGGCGGACGGCTAAACCAGCTGCGAAAGGATGCTGGGCGGACCATCAGCTGATCGAGAACCAGACGATAGGGCGATGCAAGAACTCCGGAAGAAAACATGACGGCCAGCTAACCAAGAACCAAAAAAAGATGATCAACCGTTGATTAGGAACCAGACGACAGAATGAAGTGTTGTCGAGTAGCTTATCGAGAATTGACCGGTTCACCTAGCAATGGTGCTATGTTCAAACTTTTAAGATGAATCATATGAAACATATACTTTGGATAGGATACATATCAAACACTATATTTCACCGACAACAATTGTCGCTGATTCTATCGTCATCATTAGTCAAACCAAACACGACGCACCCGAGTATTGAGCAACATGTAGCGCTGTTACTCTGGTCCCCGTCCATTTTTGCGGCAGTCCTTCCTGGTGTCGCGGTTTTCCTGGCTGTCCGCTCACACTCAGCCGTTTTAATGGCTCATTTGCGGGCTGCCTGCGTGGATAGCTTATGAAGTGACACTTAGCCGGGGCGAAGCACACCCTAACTGAACGGGTTGTCGCGTGTGAAACGAGCTAGAGTCACGCTATTCTTCATTACGAAGAACGTGACCTATGCCGTGTGGGGTGGCGGACGAACGTTAGGATAGATGCGGCCGCGGTAACGTCCTTGTCATTTTTACCAAGCGAAGATATTTCAAAAGTCATTTATGGTCCGGCATATGTTATTCCAGGAGGCGTAACGCTTACATGAGCAAGTGAATTAGCGCACACACCGGCTATGAACAATGCGCTGCGAGATTTTTGCGTACAGGTCATTTTTGATTGACCATAGATAGTCAGCTGATTCTAAAACAGTTAGAGTTGAACATGTATTGTGTATCGTATTTTTTGCCATATTAGGCAGCAGGCAAGGCCCATGGTGCATGAAAGGAGACGACCTTGTCATGCTTGGTAGAACCGACAACTATAATTTTTGCGTTTTTTATCGATTCTTTATGGACTAACGTACTAGGAAGCGTGTTGCGCGTAATGTGAACCTATCCACTTTGCGAATCTAGTATATACAGCGAAACAGACGTTACAATTGGTTGCGATGGTCCTCTCCAAAGCAACATCGTACGCCTCAGACATGCATTCTATTAAGCGCCTACCTATGTTTAGCGATACGAGTAATGACTGATGCAATAACGCTTGACACATCCTATCGATGAAAAAATGATCCATGCGGCCCTCGGCGATGGGATGAACTGACAAAAAGTGCCGGTAGCCCCGGCGAGCTCAATAGCCAGTCATTGTGTTACCCCACCGGGTACGATGCATGTTGTGTCAGCGACATACCATGAGACGGCGACGTTACACATAAATCGCGGCTAACTAGCGCACGTGCCAGGCGTGCAATTCATTCCATCCGGTGGCTCAACGCCCGCGTGTCCCATCGTGTAATCTGCCACACGGGCTGTGCTCGTTCTCACAGCTAGATCTGCTCCGATGCGTGTCTTTCCCACCTAAATCTGCAGTCATGCACCCGGCATCATCCCGACTCAGAACAACAGAGCCGCTTAGCGACTGTTCAGGTGTCGCAATGTGAACCTTCGGCGGGATTTTGACAGCTTTGAGAAGTTCTGGCCTACCCTGAGATTGACGCGCATTGGACATACAGGTAACATGGTTTTTAGGCACGCAATACTAATAATACAGGCCAAATAAACATAACCTTCAGAAGGCTGCATTTTCTGGGAATTATATCAGCAATGTATCTGGTCAAAATGTCATGATAACCCGCGCCGTGCTGGTGGCCTGAACTTTCCGCCGAGTGCTGGGGGGGGGGGGGGCGTTTTCACGCCCCCCCGTCTAACTCGGCTCCTGGGCCACGTAGCGACACGCGGTAAGCGGCAATCGAAAGAGCGTCAAAAAAGGACGAAAACACTTCGGTCATTTTTTGGGTCAGGTCAAAGGTCAGGTCACCAGAGGTCACCAAAGGTAAAATGTTGACTATTTCAACATTTTGGAAACTGCCAACGGCTATCTCGGGAACCGATAGAGCTACAGCGCCGCGGAAAAGCGCATTCGATAGCCCTTTTACAGACCTTTCTGAGTAATGTTCTCAGATTTGACCTCAGGTCAACGGTTTAGCCTCCAGAGGGCAAAAACTCCAAAAATAGCCGTTTTTACGAAAAACGTTTTTTCGTCAATAACTTTTGACTCATAAGCGCCATGACATTACTTTTGCCAGCATCGTGTTCCTCTCGTCGAGACGCGTCGAATGAACTATTTGTTGACCTTGAAAGGTCATTTTGAAAATTTGACCTCAGGTCAAGGTCATGACCTGACCGAAAAGGGTCATGTTGCATATCAGTCGATCCGTATCGTCGAGCTGAACACATCTGACGTGTTTTCACCGCTCTAGCACGTCTCTATCAAAAGTTATAGCCAAAAAACTGCTGGCGACCGTTCATGACCTGAGATGACCTCAGGGGCACACAGAGGGGTCACAGGTGCATTTTTCCTATTCAGTGTGTCATGTTTACCTATGAACCGATGTTTGAGAGCGTTTTGAACGATATTCGTCCAAAAGAGGCGCATTTCAATTTTCTCCCATTGACTTATAATGGAGAGGTCGCAAAATTGACCTGACCTTAGGTCACAGATATCAAAAATCCGAGATATACATTTTATACATACTGTTACTCATATCAATCGCTGAAAGTTTCAAAGTGATCGTTCAGTCGGTGTAGCTATAGCGAGCCTTTGAACTTTTTCTGAGGTAAGGTCACTTGACGTGACCTGGTGACCTGACCTTGAACGGCCTAGGTCTGAAATTTTCACAACATGTGCGGAAATGATGTAGGAACACGTGTACCAAAAACGGCGGCGCTGCGCGCCGCCGTTTTTGAGATATTCGCGAAAAACCTGAGGGGGGGGGCGTAAAAACGCCCCCCCCAGCACGGCGCGGGATAACATAAACCATAATATTAGCTTTACAGACTTTTATCATGCAGACTCTTGGATGCATTGACAATGTAAAATTACTATGAGCAGGTCCATGAAGGTACTCGAGCACTTTGGCATGTAGAAAATGGCAATGAGCTGCGGCAACATTCAGATTTCAGATTATTCAGTGGACCAGCTAATCAGCACATCAGCCGTTTGTCGACTTACCGTGGAGGGGATGTTCGGCGGCCATCAGCTTCTTGATTTTTCGAACTTTCTCTGGAGCCACCATGTCTGCCGGTGTGCTGGTATTCTGGTCGAAATCTGCCGCTCGACTCACGTCCGGGGGGCAGACGGAAGGCGGACGGAGACCGACAACACGGGAGGTTGTCGACGGACGGCTGATGCTGGTGGATTTGCTTGGGGGTATAATTTAACGAGGCTTTTTAAGAAAATGTCAATTATAACCTTTGCTTGAAAGCTTACTACAGATGACTCTTTTGCGAGTAAACCCGAGCGTCTCGCGCTTATTATATCGTCCAGTTATTTGCGTCTCGTTTCAATGCGAGTCCAGCTCGGCTGCGAGCTGTGTCGGCTCCTGTCCTGCAGAGAGGCGAGTGTCGTGCTCGGCCTGTAAGGCCCGGGGAGGCGCGTGAACGTCGGCCAGGAGCGGAGCGTGTCGGTCAACTCTGAACGGCACAGCCACTGGGTGAAGACTGACCGCGGCGGCGGCTGGCGCCCGGACCAAGGGACGCAGCCGGCCGCCCCGCCCCCTGCACCCACCCGCCGGGCGGGCCGGGCCGGGTCGGGCGGGGAGGGCAGGTCATATGACTCAGACCAACTCTCAGTCTCACTGGATGAAGGTGTTCCCACCTCGGGGAAGGAGCTACTCATTCCCAGTTCCACCCCATCACCGAGCCAAAGCGGTTCTGGGTACCACATGGTAAGTGTTGTAGCAGTTTTAATAGCCTGAATAGCAAATAGCTTTTAAGCACATCGTCGCAAAACAAATTGCAAAATTATTATGCTGCCATCACGTCCCCTTTCCAAGGTAAAGGTATTTTATGCATTTTTGTCGTATTATTGAAATCAGCTGCTTTTATCTATTGCTTGCATCTTCCTCAGTAGTCAGTTGTCATACCTACCCTAAATAGGTACAGATTGTGGATAGAATCTAGGTTCGTTCATTTTCTTCATCCAGTTTAATTTTATGCACTTTCATATTAAATCCCAGTCACCAACGCTTGTTAGCTTTAATGGCTGCTAAGCCTTTGCCTTTCAATGCAAGAGGGTATAGCATATACGCGCGCGCGGTACAGGACTTAATTCTGTTTTGATTTTTTTTTAATCTTCGAAATGTTGTCAAGAAAGCCATGTGATAACTAAGTCATGCAATTATTTTAGCCTGATTGATTGCTGATTATGAGAGCCTTGTTCGAGCCGTTTCGGCGCTGAAAACGCTTGCCTACGTTTTGCTTTGGGCTTTGTTACTCTTGGACAAAAGGCTGAGAAACAAACATAAAAATATGCATTTTGATAAACTCAAAGGTGCCATTTATCATCAAATATATTCACTTTGCAACATAAGAGCGAGTCAATCAGCCGCCGCTCCCGTGCTCCCATCCATATGAGCCGGGCGTTAATTCCTCCAGCAATGTCCATTGTCCAGCCGCGCCTGTAAGTAGGGCCCAACCCGCTCGTCCCCGCGCCACTTGGTGTCCGGCTGCGATCAGCGCAGGGGTTTCTGACTAACGGTACGGATCAGCCCCCAGTCTCGCACCCACTGGCCAGTGTGAGGCCCCGCTGCGGCGCCTTTTGAGGCCGCACACAAATCGCGTCTTATGCACGGCTTTCAGGGCAATGTCACATCTGCAAACTTTCGGTAAGAACAGGACACTTGCTTCCTTAATGCCTGGGAATTCCTGGTAGAGGTTCCTTTGGGCTTTGATATGCACGCAGAAACACGGCGCCTTCAACTGGTTACCACATTCCTCAAAACGCATGAATCGCAAGTTCCACCTAACCGGTCTATAAGCGATAAAAATATGACTTTTTTATATTGGCCTTGTTCGATTTTGATTGCCGGTCCGGCAGCTGTTTCGGATTCCTAACGACGTGTAGCATCACAACCAGGATCTGCTTTCATGTAATATAATGTAATAACAGAGGGAAAACTGGAGTCGAAATGTGTGAAAAGCTCATAAACACGATGATCTGAGCCTCTCAGCGGCTGCCTGGGAAATTCCATCTTTTAAACTTGAAGCGCGTTCTTCAGTCACCATGCAGCCAGGCAGCAAAAGCAGCCCTCGGTTATGGACCATCCACCACTGCAATGGAGGCAGCCATAAGGCAGAAAGAGTGGATCGGAATCCCTATAGTACATACTAAATAGAGTCGAAAAGGCAATTTTTCCGTTTGTTTGCGTTCTCCGTCTGGAAAGTGGAAAAGTGATTACATACTGATACAACAATGAATTTGCAATGCATGACCACACTAAATCTGCAGCGCTAGCGTACAATTATTGGTATGTGCATGGTTATTGGATAACTGGTGATTGGGAATACTGACGAGTCGATAGGCTGATATGATTGATGACAGGCGTTGTGGCAGGCATGATGAGAAAGGAGAATGCACATTTGCGCGTTCTTTTCAAGCATGTGTCCATATATACCATGCCAGAAATCGCCTCCATTTACGGAGGAAGCCTTTCTGTAATGTGTACCTATGTGTACCTATAATGTGTGTACCTATATACAATATACATATATGGTCCCATGCACGTCAGTATGACGGGGACTATTAACGTTTCTCGCAACATCCCACCATGAATAATGTCCGCGCTTTTATCCGTGTTTCCGCTCACGTCGTCGGCGGAGCACGGGGCTCCCGGTACCTGTCCTCTCACTGTCGCCGCCGCCATGCTGTCAATGGTGAACGCCGTGTTAGTGTAGAACCGCTCTGGGAAACCCATGCAATCAGTGCCAGCCCCACCCAGCCGCCATTGAGGCTCGTGTGAACAGTGCGTATAGAACGACGTGAGTAACAGGGGCCGGTGTCGCCGAACACGGCCCGGGACTCATCACGGGCTAACCGCAGGGTGAGGTCACACACCGACCCGAGGTCCTGATCTGACACGGTACACCCACATCCGGAGCACGGTATAGGTAAGAGGCACTCCGATCTAACACGGTGCGCCCACATCCGGAGCTGCGCGGGTGTTCCGTAGACCGACTGCAGGTGATTGGGCCTGTCCTGGTCCTCAGAAACCGTGTTACGAGTGATTTACAGCGTAAGGAGTCTTTGAAATAAGACAACAGTTAGGAAAGGATGAAGCGTGAAAATATACATAATTGTAGACGTGGGTCAGGGTGGGAATAAAGTTAAGCTGTTCCAATTTCGAGAAAATAATGAGCATGGTTATTAGCTAGGTGGTCTGCTTATTGTCAGCTAGCTTTTATTTTACTTTAAGAAAGCTTACCTAACTTGAAAACTAAGATTTCCAAAACATTTAGGTAAACACTTCAAAGTAAAAAATAGTTTAGGTACTTTTGCTATTGATAGTTGTTGACTGTTGTATACATGTGCACTTTCCAAACATATTCTTAAAATCTTAAATAAAAATGATATGCCCAAAGAAAGCCAGAAAACTGCAGTTTCTATTTTTAATACTGTTTTACATATGTGTTTGCTAGTCTCACCGTGTTCACCTTTGTCTTTATGTAACTTGACACTGTGGTGGTAAAAACCAACATTGTTTGGATCCCACAAAGATATAAATACAAAATACAAAATACAAATGCAAAATACAAAAAATGAACCACTTGAACTTCTAGTCGGCAGGCCTGAGAAATAAGTGATCCAAGACTTCATAACAACCGCTGTCAGGGATTCGTACCCGCTGACCCTCCAGTCTTCAATATTGTGTTTCTGTTTAATGCCGGGGATGATCCCTCTAATAGTAGGAACTCGTTGAATTTACGATGTGATCCGCTCAATTATAAGACAAAGGGAAGAGCTTTGTATATTTGCAATATAACTCCAACAAATAATTTTTAGGGTTCCGGTGGAGTAACATAACGTAGATAAATTTGATCCCACTATAAATATTCAAGTCAGCTGATACTGAGTGCGCCCGGGGATCAATATGAGTCACGCTTTGCTCACTAGCATGATCATGTTTGGTTTCATAACTCATAGTCTGTCGATTTATTGCCTGCCGAGACGTCACCGGATGCAGCTCCGTTCGGCACCTCCTCAAACATTACCGCTTATTAGAGACGCTCGCGCTGAGAAATCCACCCAGGCTCTGTGCATCGAGTCACGATCAGTTCATCCTTCTCGGCATAAATCACCAGCAAATGTGAAGCAGGAGGGGTGAAGGTGCAGCGGGGACAGGCCTTGGCCGTGAACGCTGCTCTGTCCTCGAACTCCGATCTCGAGTCTGAGACGTCATCGCCGGCCCTCGCGGCGGGACGTCATCATAGACCGTCCCACCCGCGCGTCGCCAGGTGCTCTGATAACGGCCAGCGGAAGTGATGGGGGCGGGGCGCGCCGCCGACTGCGCAGATTTAGACCGATGTGCCCGCGGCAGCGGGGACGGGTCACCCTCGCCCGGACATCATCGGCGGCCTTAGGGACGGAGGTGCGGCTTACGGAGAGCGAGGGTGTGCGAAAGTGTAACCCCTATGTGCAGATGAGTCGTCTTTATAGATGATCCATGATAACTCGTGTCGCTGAGGTGTAGTTTGGTCTAATTATGTACCTATAACAGATGGAGGCGGGACATGGAAGTTTTACGCCCTCCCTAATAGGCCCTAGGTTCACAGTTTGGCTCCAACTTGGCTCTAGCGACAAGCGGTAAACAGTGTTGAAGGGCTGTAAAAGTTAAAAGAATATTGTGATCATTCGGTAGGTGAAGACCTCTCGTCAGGTCCCCAGAGGCTATTTCAGAGGCCATCAAGCATCGACTTTCTATTGTCGAAGCTTTTCAGGTGAACTACAAATTGACATGTAAAGGTCAATTATAAAACTAGACCCAAGCCCATAGCCAGGATCTGACCGGAGAAAGTCATGTTGCCATCGGTCGGTCCCTTCGTTTTTAGCACACTTGAATAGCACACTTGAGTTTAGCACACTTGAAGTATCCGCAAAGTCCTAAAATGCCTATCAAAAGTCATCGTCGAAAAACGAATGGTGACCTTTCAGTGAACTAACATGACCTCAATGCAAAGACATAGCATAGAATCATGGACATAGTTTTATAGCTCAGTATTTCTCAGACATCTAATAAACGCTTCCTGTAATGCTTCGAATTCCTTCATAATAAAAAATCAAATCTTGAATTTGTGGGGTTTTTGGGTGCACAATGTAATTATGTTGGTAATCGATATAAACTATGTGGAAATCAGGAGGAGTCCCTGATACAACATATCCTCATTACGTCACAGATCCAATGCAAAAACAATATCAATAATATGTATTTAGGCATCAGCGGTGTTATATACGCATTCGTTACATACAGTACCTTCGTGATTGTTTTTGATAGGTAACATTTGATCGGTACGCGAGACAATCACACTTTAACAAATCAGCTTCTTTATGAAATAATCTTATAAATATTACTGAGTGCTGCACGATGTCCACTGGCCGCGCCCCTTTGACCGATAAAGGCATATGAGGACAAATTTCTACGACACTAAGTCGTCATATTTGTTCTGAAATCTATTTGACAATTGACCGAAGGACC